TTAACATTCCACGACGTTAAGTCACATCAGAATCCTTTTTGCCTTTTGAACATCCCATTTTCAAGATTTGATCTGATGCAATAGCAACTTCAAATTAGATTGCACCCGGACAACTGCCCCTGGGCTGAAAACCACAGTATAGTCATAAAATGAAGCATATTGTGGTAGTGTATAGTAGTCTAATTCATGACTCATGAGTGTTAATCTGTGGACTGAGCTGGTGTGCTGATGGGCTGTGGTTTCTGTTTGAAATGAGCTGTGTTGTTTTCACTGATTTGCCTGATGTTCTCTTCTTCGCTGTCTCATCAGTCTTTGCTTCTCCCCAGGGTTATTTTGCAGAGCTGGATAACTCCGAGCTCAGCCATCTCACCCCCCCCTCCCTGGAGAACAAAAGAGATGTGCTGTTTGGCAACCTGCCAGAGATATATGAATTTCACAACAGGTAAATGAAATGCCATTTATACTTCGCTTTGCCACATTTGCTACTGTATCATGGAAACAATGGCATCAGTGTTATAAAAACAGGAAATCTAATATTTACACAATATACAAATTAGAGGAACAGTAAGCCAAGTCCAATAGTAGCTCAGTGTTTGCTCCTCACTAACTTTTTTTTCCGCTTTGTTTACGGAGTTGGGTTGTAGTAATATTAACCATTGTTTATTTGAAAAATACAACATAGATTAGATCAACATCAAATTCCCAATAATACTGTAAGTAGAAGATTTTTGAAGAGCCTCTCATTTCTAAACAGACAATTTGTCGGTTTATACAACATATGCAAAGTATAATTGTTTGTGGAGCAGTTTGTTTTTGTAGTTATTGACAGAAATAAATGCAATGAGCTTCTCACATACAACTTTAAACTACACTGACTTACAGCAAACATGGCATATATCATCTCCCATTCAAGCCACAGTTTAAAACTTTTGAAAAAAAATAAGAGCATGTAACTGGATTTCCTTGACATGCATGTCTTGTATTTTGTGCATCTAGGTATGCACTCTGAGCATGAATGGGTCACTCAAAGGGCCTACTGTGCACAGGCCTTACGACCCAAGGGTCAGGGGCCCCCTAGAGCCTATTTGTGAAGTAAAATATCTTTTAAAAAAAAGACACATAATTTAGGACATGGTATATTTGAGGCTTCAGTATCAGTAATTTAAATTAGAACAGCAGATCTGCTCTGGTTTAGTTATAATCAGGTATAAAATCTGCTCAGCGGGCTGTCAGTACATATCTGCAGTAACAGGAAGCTTTACTTTCTCTCCATTTTGTGACAACTAAATACAAACGTAGTAAATTCAACAGCAGCACTGAAGACTGTTTGAAGCCATTTTCATCTCTTAGTGACATTTGGCAGAAATCTCAGGAGCTGCTGTTGGATGGAAATCTACAACTGAACTTTTCTTATTATCTGTGTACACACAGTAAGCAGCCAAGCTTACATTCAGCTGTGTCTGACAGGATAAACAAATAGAAATTATAAAATGTGACTATTTTCCTCTATAAATTGGATTGTCTCAGTATGCATTAGTGTAAGTTAAAATAATGACTATTCAAAAAATCCCAAAGAAAACAAAGTTTGATAACTGTGTCAAAAAAATTCGAAAAAAGTTCTACAAATTTGAAGTTTGTAGCAGGTCGTCTGCATTTAAAGCTTGAATTATAGGTATACATCATATTGACTCCATCTGTGTTTCAATAATTTCAAAATAACTTGACAACTGCCAAATATCCACTATTTTCCAACCATTCTGTTTATTTTTGAAATATCAAAATATAAAAGTAAAGCAGTGGGTTACACAGACTTTTATCATCTGCTCTTGTGGCTCTTGTCTTCACACTCACTCCCACAAATCCCATCTGTCTGCATTCCTGTTTCTTTGTTTGCTGACGGCAGCCACACACAGACACACACACACAGTAAACACAATAATGTTTACATTGACGTTGAAGTGCTCTAAAAAAAAAAACTAAGTGCAAATAAAAAAATATACAAAACACGAAGCTAATTAATACAATGTAATTGAAATTTGGTAAAAGCACACACACACAAGTTAAAATGCTTGCATTGGTTGAGTAGCTTGTTTAATTTAGCCATATAATTAAGAATTATCCCAAAATTAGTTGGACTAATATGTCATTACTTTAATAGCAGGACATTGATTTGTGCAATGATCTGGATAATGAGTTCGGCCGGCTCCACGTAATCCCCCACGGGAGCCGCACAGCTCTGTTTGATACTCGAGGCTCAGTGAGGCCTCAGTCTCTGGGTCTTTCTCAGGAGGAACAGTAAACTCATGGGGGATTCATCTCTGTGACTCAGAAGCTGACCACATTGTATTAGTTAATGACACAACATGTTTCCATTGTCAGCTGTTGCTGATGTGCTGCTTATATGTGTCTGCCGGTTCAATATCTGCCCTCTTCACATTGTAGAGTGAGTGACATGTTCAGTTCAGAGTGTTCAGTCAGGATGTAGCAGTTTTTTTTAAAACAAATGCGTATCTTTATTGGAATGACATTAGTCATAGTATGTTACTCGCCTTTGCTCTGTGTGTCCTGACTGCGGAGCGATCAGTTCAGATTCATTTTGTTTTGCTTGTGTTTAACCAGGAGGGTGGAGGGAGGCCCCTGTAACAAAAAAAATAATGTTGCTTGGCAGCCATTCAGATCAAATGAAATTCCACTCACCCTCATTGGGTGTGCATGAGACAATTTCCTGTCCCACCTGGTGGTAGATTAACCACCCACAATGTATAGTAAACAAACAGTCTTGAATTCATGCAGAAGTAAACTGTTTCTGCCCAGGATCTGTTTTGCTGGATGCAATGATGAGTGAACTGACATTTTAATAATTCAAGCTTCATAGTAAAAAAAATCATTTAACCCTTGACACATAGGCTTCATCCATACTACTTTTTCAAACTAAAACAGGCTATGAACAGCTTTTATTCTCTGGAAGAGGGAATACAGCCAGACGAATCAGTGAAGGCTACATTCTGACCTAAAAGACCCGAGCGGTTGTGTGTTTGTGGAACAACATCGCTTCCAAATACCTCTGTTGCTGCCCATCCAGACTACAACACTGTGCTGGAGTTTTCAAACTCAAATTGGGCCAGCAGTGTTTCCAAGCGTCCCCTTTTTAGTGGCTCTTAAAGTCTGCAGTAGCCTGGCACAGCCACAGCAGAGTTTATGCATTTCCAAACAAAATGTATGTAATACTCGCTGGAGGATTGAAGCAGTGACTTGTTTTCTCTTTTCCCTCTTTAATTCATCTTCTCTTTCTTCCACTTCCTCCTCCCTCTTGCTTGTTTCCTGTTTTGTCCTTCCCCCTATATATTTCCCTGTCTGCTTCAGCACACCCTCTGATCTCTCTGTGCAGTAAGTGATAAAAGTGTGAGGTGGACCAAACGTTACTGCATCGGATTCTTTCCACTTCTTTCATCTCCTTTCAAAAACACGTGGCCAAGACCCAAATTGTTCTGGGCCCACTATTGTAACATTGGAGGTGGAGGAGGTTAAATAACCCATGAAGATCCAAATGAATAACTACAGCAAATAGACTGTGGGAACATCTGAACTGTTGAAGCTAAAAATTACTAACACGTGTTGGTTTAATGACATTAAGTCACTTAAGGCATTTGGGTAATTTAGCATCCAGCATGTTCTTATTCCTGTTTGTCCATGGATTCCCTGCAGGACATTTCTGAAAGAGCTGGAGAACAGCATAGAGAAACCAGAGCTGGTGGGAACTTGCTTTCTGAAAAGGGTGAGTAGCTTTGAAAGTCTGCCAAAGTACTGCACGTACACTGTACATTGGCTATTCCCAGTTTGTCAGTTTACACTTTACTATAATTCAGAGTGAAATGTTCTCCTGTATAATAAATACTTTATTTTTTTTTTCATATAAAAGAACTGAATACTTCACCACATCTTAGAGACTAAATGAATAAATTACTCATTGTTTACTCTACTATCGTAAGACTAATCGGCAGCTGTGGCTGAGGGGTCATCCTCAAACCAGAAGGTCAGCAGTTCAATCCCAGTCTTCCTCATCTGCATGCCGAAATGTTCTTGGGCAAGATTCTGAATCCCGGATTGCCCCTCCTAGAAAAAAAAAATGCTGCACATAGATGCATTGTATGAATGTGTGTGTGAATGGCAAACTGTACTGTAAAGCACTTTGCGTGGTCATCAAGACTAGGAAAGCTCTATATGAATACAGACCATTTACCACTTAATAATTAATTTAGTACATCTGGAAATTCTACTCCATTCAGCTCACCCATAAAGATAATGTTGAGTTTCCAGAATATTTGAATGTTTCAATAATTCTGTTACCTCCTTTTATAAACATGTGGGAAACTAATATACTGCAGTCTATTGCAAACCACATTCTCAGGAATAAACTGAATGAATACGCGCTCTATCTGTGTCACCCAGAACTGACCTGCGTCAAGTTTGTGAAGATACTATTTATGGCTGAGCTGAGCTAGATTTGACAGGTTTACCTAGTGACATTACCAGGGTAAGAATAGACAGCCCTTCACCTATCAGTACAATCACATAGATCCAATCTGTCTTTAAGGAAATATAATTTCACTCGAACGTTGTTTTAATTTTAATTTAAGCAGTTTTATATTTTTCTTTTTTTCCCCTTTTTCTTTAATAATTTCTGCAATTCACAATCAGATATAGGTCTGTTGCAGATCAGGTGTCAAAGTCCTGTGGGTTTTTTTTTTTATGATTCAAAATTCATTGTAGTCGACTATACATATTCAAAGCATACATATGTGATCATAGAATATAAGGAGGTTCTCACAAAATAGTTGTTGCTGTAAACTATCGTAATCAGTTGTTCTCGAGGGACCCCTTTCATCTCTGAGCCCCAGGCAATTGCCTGTTTTTGTTGAGACGAGCCTGGTTATGAAAGGTTTCCTCTGACAGATACGCTTATTTCTCATCCCTGAGTCTGAGATTAGGCTTGCAAACTCAATACCGTTCTTTAAATCACTGCTCAAAACTTATTTTTACTGGAAAGCATTTCTAACATGCGACCTGTTATTACTTTCACCACAATAATGACACTTATGGAGTTCACATATGATGTTCTTGAAGTCCCTCTCTCCTCCCCTGACCCCACCACCCCATCTCTCTCTCTATTCTATTCCCTCATCGCCCCCCACCTCCTCTTTCCCCATTTGCCCACACTGAGTCTGGTTCTGCCCAAGGTTTCTAAAGAGTTTTTCATCTTCACAGTCCCCAAAGGGCTTGCTCATTGTGGGAACTAAACAGTTCCCACAATTTTTGCTTTTGACAGCTTCTGACCCTGCTTCCTATATGAGGGTAGGTATTTAGTTAAATCTAGTTTAAAAACAAATAAATAAATAAATAGAATAAAAAAAGGCACAGAGGTAATGACATGGCTTTCATAGCACTGCCATACATACATTCTTCTTCTAGCCATGGATTTTGTTATTTTTCCTGTGAAGCACTTCGTAACTTTGTTTAGATAAGTGCTATCCAAATGCAATTATTATTATTATTTGATTAGTAATTAATCATTTATAGGCTTGCTTTTGTGGGAAAGAGGGTTAGTATATACTTTTTGTCTCAGCTAATGGTACTGAAAGAGGAGATGTCTAGCAATCAGGGCCGAACTGTCTTTTCAGACTTTGTGTGTTCTTAAGTGCAATCTGATCGAATCAACTACAACTACAGTGCAGTGTATGTAGGATCACATTTAAACACATGTTAATACAGGGACCAGTCACAAGTGTGACTGTTGCAAACAGGGGGAAGCTATGTATAACATGTGCTCTGCTGCTTTATGGGAAGAACTACAGAAAGTGAGAATGTAGAAGTTCATTTGACTTCCTGTTTCTCAGGAGAGCAAGAAGGAGGTCTGTTTTCCCCTTTACAAGCTCTCAACCCTCTGCATCCAGCTGCTTTAAGCTCATCAAGCTAGATTTTCCTCTGTACCTGCAGCATACATTGGCAGCTTGATTAGAGCGGTGGAGAACACGTCAACAGAGATGATTAACTAAGAGTCCTGTTATATCTGGCAGTGGATGCCTCAAGTTATTTTAATTTTTTGCATCTGCCCCACCCCCAGTCCCTCGCAGTGAATTTAGCGGGAGATCCCCTTACAGCAACCTCTACAGACTTTCTGTAAACTTTATGCTAGGGGGCCAGGCAGATAATGTCCGCAGAAACTCTGGAGGCTCTCACTCGGGCATTTGCAGTCACCTCCAGAGAACTACAGAAGATCTCTGGAGTTGTTGGAAAGCAGCTTAAGTTCCCTGAACCACAAATGAGCCATAATGGTGGGCTGCGTAGAGAAAGTGCTGCACATAGATGCACTGTATGAATGTGTATGCAAATGGCTGAATGGCAAAACTGTAAAATTTAAAGACTAGAATAGAACTTTATAAACACAAACCCTTAACCATTTAACAGACTTGACAAACTTCATATTCCAGCTGCAGGTGAAAAAGACCCAGAGCTGATGAGAGATTATAGAAGGATCTAACTTCTGTCACATGTGTCTTTGTTTTGTCAGAAAGAGGAGCTCCAGGTGTATCAGAAGTACTGTCAGAACAAACCCCGCTCTGAAGTCCTCTGGAGACAGTGTGGAGACAGTCTATTCTTTCAGGTTACCCAAACACGCACACACACAAACACAAACACACACACACACACTAGGACAAAACAACTCAGGCTAAATAAACTAATTTTCTTTATGTGAGGCCTCATATAGCAGTAACTTAGTGTAACGTGACTCCCCTAAGATTGAGTTAGTGAATTCTTTTTTGGGTGAGTAGTTGATAAGTTTAGTCATTAAGCACTGGTGCTACTGTCTAAGACAGACTGCAGTCTTTGTTACAATACATCCTTTATATCAGAAACCTATCAGAAGCAAGAATTAAACTCACTTGATGGTAAATCTACAAATAGCTGCTGTTGTAGCCAATGTAGCTGGCGTGTTTTGCCGACTGCAGTTTTAACGCTAAGTTAAGTCTGTCTGTCGTGTCTGTCGTCCCTTCCTGAGGAAGAATGTTTGGTGTTTCTCACAACAGGAATGCCAAAAGAAACTGGACCACAAACTCTCCCTGGATGCCTACCTGCTGAAGCCTGTCCAGAGGATCACCAAATACCAACTCATGCTCAAGGTAGCCATACACACACACACACACACACACACACACAATAAAATGCTCGCGTTAGTTGAGTAGCTTGTGTAATTTAGCCATACAATTAAAAATTATCCAAATTTAGTAGGACTAATATGTCCGTACGTTAATGACGGGATATTGATTTGGAATGATCTGGATAATGTTAAGCCTGCTCCACGTAATCTCCCACAAGAGCCACCCTGAGCTGTGTTTGAGTCTGGAGTCACAGTGAGGCTTCAGTCTTTCACTACAGAACTAAGAGTAAGAAACATGTATACATCTTGTCTGTGTTCTGTAATGTGTAAATCTGCAAGCTTCAGTCTCAACAAGTTAAAACATATTTGATTAATATGCATTTCATCACTTATTATGATACAGATTGTTCCATTAACCATTTATAATTTAGCCTGATAACATGTTCATACTATTGCGATTACAGATGCATTATGATGCTTTAAAATACAATAAATAAAATATACAATTACATATAACACATAAATACGACTGTGGAAAAATTGGGACTCATTGGCCCGATCCCATTTCATCCCTTGGCCTTACCTTCCCCTTCGTTTTGCACGACAAAATAATATAACTTGTTCACGTGTAGGGGTAGGCTGTCCCAATACCTGCCGAGACGAAAGGTTAAGGCCAAGTTATTGGGCTTTTGTAGCCCTCGAAACAGAGTGTCTTGCGAATCACCGGCAAGCTGGGAGAGAGACCCACAAATGTAATATTTTCTCCGTTAATAAGGATTTTATAATTACGATTGTTTATTACGAAATTATAATGATTATACTATCTTGGTTTAATATCATTTCAATGAATTATGGTCACAACAACCTTAAAAAAACCTAACCTGTACTTTCACATAATTTCATCCAACACACCCCCCTCCTTGAAGACACACGATGTACTTGATTGAACAAGCAGATAGACGCAATGTTACTGAACTTAACTGCTCCTCTAATAACAAAGCATCCTGGCAGGGTTGTATACAGACCACTGCTAGTAGCCTGCAGCTGTGTGCTTTTGATTCATACGTGAAATAATGCAGAGCATCAGGGCTTTTCAATTTCAAATATCATTGATTCACCTGCATTAACATAGATGTTATTTGGATATTAGATGTTTGTCACTTTAGTAACAGCAAACAATAGCAGTGGTTTATCTAAGATCTCAACAATGTTATTACGACATACTGGCAAAACTTTGTCTCGTCTGTTTACATCGATGACTACTGATAACATGTCAGGTTTTCATGACGACTACTGATGATGTAACAGCTTCTTGAAGGGCTGTCCCAATTCGTAGGGGAAGGTTTCCATCCCTACCCCTTGTGACTCTGTTTCAAGGTGCAAATAACCCTCAAAAACAAGGGGTAGGGCCAAGGGGCGACATGGGACTGGGCCATCATCTGGTCTTTTCTTCTGACATTACAAACTCATTACAAAAATCATTTAAATGTCAATATACTGCCTTTATTATGAATACTACTTATACGACAGGTGGCTTTGGCTCAGGAGTAGAGTGGGTTGCCTCCAACCAGAATATCGGTGATACGGCTGTGCCGACAGTGAATGGATGAATGGCAAAGCTGTTCTGTAAAATGCTTTGAGTGGCCATCAAGACTAGAAAAGCTCTATGTAAATATAGACTTTGACTGTGAAAATCAAGATGTTAAAAATGTGAGTTTACTTAAAGTGTGTAGAATTTAGTGATATCTAGTGTTGAAGTTGATTGTTGCAGCTGAACACCCCTCACCTCACCCTCTCCTTCCAAACATGAAAAAGAACCTGTGGTAACCTTCAGTTGTTATAAAAACTCAAAAGGTGTTTAGTTTGTCCAGTCTGGACTAATGTAAAAAAACATGACGGCCTCCGTAGAGAGGGTCCCCTCTATGTAAATATAAAGTATTTAAATATAAAGGACCTTTTCTGGGGTAAAGAAAACTACAATTCTTACAACTTAGATGAAACAAACTAGTGAAAACATCATGCGGATTATTCTACATTTCAGCCAATAGTTCCTTTTCACCTAAATCTTACACACTGGACCTTTAACGCAGATATGAATGTGGTCAACTAATGCAGTGTCTCTATTCCATTTTATTTATTTAGTGCCAAATCATAAATAAGCACTTTACATAGAAGACTCTTTATACAGAAAACCCAACAGTTCCCACAATGAGCAGCACTTTGGTGACTGTGGAGAGAAACACTCCCTCATTAACTGGAAGAAACCTCGAGCAGAATGTTTTGAAACTGTAAAACTGAACTGAACTTGAAAACTGTCAATAAACAAATTGAGTCAACTTAATAATTTACATATGAAGTCGTCTCTGCTATTTAATTACATTGACACCCCAAGAATACTTTGCTTTCTATTTACATCTCTCGCAGTTTGATGTGTCAGTGGCAACATGCTGCAGTGACTCTTACATTATCATTGTATGGGAGCTGGGCCAGAATAGCATTTGTTTTATCATCATGAAAAAAAACAACCATGACTTAGTTTAACATGAAGTACTAATATTCTAGTTGTTTTTCTTTAAAATGCTGATTAAATTAGTTCAACTGTCAGCATGGATGCCTGTGGCTTGGGAGGTAGAGCAGTTTGTCCTTTAACCAGAAGGCTGGTGGTTTGATCCCTCTTTCTGCATGCTGAGGTGTCCTTGGACATGATACTGAGCCCCAAATTGTGTCTGCCAGCAGAGTAAGAACGATGTGTGACAAAGTGCTTTACATATGCACTGTATGAATGTGTGTGTAAATGGCAAACATACTGTAAAGTGTCTGAGTGGTCATCAAGACTACAAAAGTGCTTTTTAAATACAGAGCATTTACCATTTCATCAAAGTCAAAATGAATCGATTGATTGCAGTAGATTTCTTTTTGTTGTTTACAGTGTAAAGCAGCTAGTATCTCTAAAAAAGTCTTTAATCCCCTCCCTCCCTTCCGCTTCCCTCCCATGGGCCAGGGCTGTTGAGAGGATAAAAGAAATACCACATCATGATCGTCCTCATGAGCCTCACAAGTGTTTTCTTCTTGTATCTTTCCTTGTTCAATCTCTCGATCCCGCTTGCCCTTTTCCTGTCTCCCAGGAGATGTTAAAATGCAGTAAAAGTGAGGGCATGGCTGAGCTGGAGGAGGCTTTAGCGACCATGCTGGACATCATCAAGTCTGTCAACGACTCCATGCACCAGATAGCCATCACTGGTTTTGAGGTCAGTATAAATAATGAATTCATCATCATCTTGAACACAATGAAAGTAAAGACAAAATAATATAACTTGAAATATAAGGAAACAAGCAGCTAAGTCACGTTAATCAACTTTAGGTAGGTAGACTGCACTTTGTAGAAGCATGCACAGCAGTCGACTTGTGGTCTCCCAAAGTATGCAGAGTAGGCTTTTGGATGATGTGATTGGTTCAGTGGAAAAAGTGATGAGAAGACCCTATACCCAGCACAATTTCGGGTGCAGGTGTGGACTGCAGGATTGATGATCAGAGGAAACGGGTAGAGGTGATGTCAGGTGGCAAAGTTGGGTCTTCTCTGGATGTAGAGGAGGATACTGGAACCCACAGGAGGTGCGACAGGAGACCTGAAGTGGCTGACAGGTGAAGACGAGAACCAGAAACAATTGAGGCTGGCACAAAAAATGGATGACCTGTCTCAGAAATCAGTGAGAATATCATCTTTATTGCCACGCGCTCTGTATCTGAATCTAATTGGTCATTTTGGGTGTCAATATAACATTATGTTATTGAAACAAGATATAAGGTTACTTGGGGGGGGTTCCGTCTCGGACTGAAAGGTACTGTACTTCTGGTACATCACAGGGGGATGGAACTTCACAGCATATGCCGTATGTACTATGCCCTGAAATTCATCAGAGCGTTTTCCTTCTTCTAAATCTAAATGGTACAGTGCTTCTACAGCACAGGGAGACAGAACCTCACAGCCCATGCTACATGAGAGTCTGTACCTCAGGGACCCACCTCAGGGGCTTTCAGCGTGTCTCAGAGCTTTTAACCAAGCCAATACTGCATTTAAATCACATAGCAGTCTACAGAGAAATGCATTTTCAGAAGTTAGGTAACCATTGTGTTTTCAGGACCCAGAGTAAAAATGAAATAATTGAGCCCCTCAGGGCTTTATTATACATAATGACTGAAAAGAAAAATTAGTATATAGTGGTATACAGCAAATAAGGCAGTGAATAATGAGACAAAGTGAACACCAAAATGACAAAAATGTAAATAAAAGGTGTGTCAGTCCATGGTGGAACAACAGTCTCTAGACTTTGTGAAAATAAAGTTAAAACTTCATCTAACAGAAATATTGCAGCAGGTGATCAGGCTCAAATTTCATGATCTGCTTCTGGTCACATTTAATATGTAGAAAAAGTAAACACACTGCCTTCATTTTTGGAAGTTTATTTTAAGGTGACCACAGGTGGGTACATGTTGTATCACAGTGACAAAGCAGATGTTTTTACTATTTCTTTTTTTAACAGTTTGAGAAGCAAATTTAAACACAGTTATGGTACGTCAGTGTTGTTTCTTACAACATAAGAAAAGAATCACGAGGGAGCAGTTGAAAACTCTGACCAAGTCTGTCCACACAGCGTAAACTCCAGATAATTCATTAACCAACCAATCTTAAGAACCACCTGTCTTTGTTCAGAGGGACAGGGAGTCGAAACCATACTTGGTTAAAGAATCGTTGGAGGGTGAAGGGAAGCTGAAGAAGTTGTTCTAATTCTTTGGATGTTCTGTTTCATGTCTCAGAGAAGAAACATTTCTGGTATTTCACATCACTCCTTGGTGTTGCCAGCCAATGTTTTCAATCTGTTAGAAACCTCAGTCGAAAAATGACTCTGTTCTATGATGTGACCATGTTTTAGTTATCTTTGTCGAGGTATAGGGAAACTCTGTAGTCATGGCTTGACTGTCAATGTGTGAATCTGAGGACATCAGTGAAGACTGTTGTGGAACCTCAGTATACCAGTTCACATATGCATGACATCATTGGATATTTTTTGCATTCTGCCTAGTGTCAGATGGTTTCAGACCTTTATTGCACAAATCGGCTCAGTCAGATATTAAAAAGACTTCGTACTATGGAGCTGGAAGAGTAAGGTCCATTGTCGCTCTATCAAAACAATTTCTTCCTGCTTCGTTCCCTTTGTAATTATTCATAAATATTACACCTATGGCATTCACAATGAATTTGCAGCTCAAGACAAGAGGAATAGTGAAAAGATCTATGAATTCATGATGATGAAATTTGAATGGTACAGATTGTGCAAGTGCATAGAAATGCAAAGACTGCTGGAATAAATAGTCAATGAATGATATGTCATTCTTCAAGTGGAAGTGTTTTACTGTCATACAGTAATATCTGTAGGATATTTTGCTTTTGTTTTCCTTCATGAATATTTTTTTTGATTTCTTCTTAACTGTTGATCTGTGACACTGTGAAAGAGCCAAAGTGGGATCATTCACATAGAGAGATGCTCTAAATATCTAACTGTGTGTGTTTGTGTTGACAGGGAAACCTGAGTGAGTTGGGGAAGCTGCTGATGCAGGGATCTTTTAATGTGTGGACTGACCACAAGAAAGGCCACAGCAAGGTACAACCTCACTTGCCATTAGATAGTATCACTGTCCCTTCATCATCAGCGATGCTGCGTATAAACATTATAATGCTGTGCCTTTTAAATCATACATATGTGTACATTTGTATCCCAATATCTTTAGTTGCATGGTGCACATTTTTAGATTTCTAACTTTTCCATTTTCCCAAGTAATTATGTGCACAAATTACTAATTTGAGCTCTAAAAGTATTCATTTGTAAGACTTAACAATAACAAGAGCATAGTGTTTGATATGAGGCTCCACAAGTGTTAGAGCACCCAGAGAGGGTTTTTGCAGAGTACAGTTTTAGAGGAGAATCACAGTTGCTGACAACACCAAAATAATTAAACAGATGTTATACTAACAAGTTACCACACTTTAACACTAGTAGTTGGACTGTGGAGTGAGCTGAACAAGGATACATACAAAATGACTGACTGGCCTGATTTCAGGTGAAGGACCTGGCCAGGTTTAAGCCCATGCAGAGGCACCTCTTCCTGTATGACAAGATGCTGCTGTTTTGTAAGAAGCGAGAGGAGACCACCGATGGACACGAGAAGACCCCATCCTACAGCTTCAAACACAAACTTAAGGTCAGATGGGTGGGTCACACATCAGTGGGTTCACGGTCTCCCATGGACCTGCAGCTGGTGGTAACACACCGAGATAGCAGCAATCTTCATTTGTAGCCAGTGAAACCACACAATCCAGACTAACTATCTGAGTAAAAATGTCTTATGATGCATGTGTACGTTGCCCATACACGTGTTTTGTATCAATCTATGAGACAGTTCAATTTGTCCTGTGGTCTCAGCTCACCCCTGTGTGTGCTTAACTGCTACAAGCTTTACTGTCTGAAATTTGGTGTTGGGCAGTTAGCTTATTGGCCGAATAAGAACATATACAATACTCTGAAGCGACTAAAAACAACAACAATACATTTCGAACTCACCTTCAGCTCCAGCTCCAAAATGATTTAATTCGCTGCAAAAGAGAACACACAATGTCGGTCCTCTTCCATGTTTGATTTTCTTCTGAAGTCACATTTAATCACGCAGAAACTCCAAATTCCAGTTCAGAATGTGGCGGTAATGCAACTAAATTCCGGTTGCCAACCGCCATAAAAAGACTGAAGAAGCTATTCCGGGTTTCTGTGGGATTTTAAGTCTCTGGAATCGGCTCTGTGAAATAGTTTCCTCATGGCGAGTGTGTGCATTCTGAGGATTATAAGATAAAAAATCTGTTAAATCTGTCTCTGATCTCTTTTTAAAAAGTAAAACAAAATAAAATAGAAAAAAATAAGAAAACATATGGGTCATATTTACAGTAATTCAAGGGAAGGGTGACAAAGCTCAAATGCACCATCACCTTTTCCCTACAGCCTCGACCAAGAACAGCCAGTAGCTGCTGGTCAGAGGACATGAGGGATCTGGGAGTACTCAGAGAAGCATCAGGGCAGCAGGTCATTTAACATTTTAAGGACGAATAAAATAACCTTACAAATATTCAGTATGAAAATCAAATTACCAGATTCTCATATTTGACCTGTTTTTTCATAATTTAACTTTCAGAGCCGAGAAGGTCATGTATTCATCAAATTCAGGCTTTCATCAGTTTAAAGCTAAGACTGAGCCCAACAACTTGAAAGAACATCATAGGAAATGAATTGGACAGTGTCTCTCCAAGGACATGATGCCTTTGTGTTAATGAATGTTATTCACAGTACTAATTTTTATGAGGAAGGTGAATATTCAATTTAGCTGGCAAAACTCTCTTCCTTTGTTCAACAGGGAAGAAAGATAAGGCGATGCTTTGGCAAGATGTTTAAATCCAGATTAGACTATGATGCTGCATTTACCAGGTTTAGGATTGAAGTGACACGTGACATGTATAAGGAAATAACATTGGGTTGCATCTGAATTATCAAAGAATGAAAAGGTTTTTCAAAGAGGACTTGGAAGAATCTGAAAAAGAGACATGGATAAATAATAAATCTGAA